GGACATCAAATTTGACATTTAACCCTTCTCTTTCAGCCTGTAAAATGGGTTAAAAAGACATGGCCACTAAAGTGGACAACCCCGTCATTTCAAACAGAGGACTCTATGGCCACTATAATGACCATTCCGTCTTCAAAAGGTTAAAATACAAAAATTAACAATTTGCAGCTACCTGAGAAAAAATGTCTTAGAGGGGCACCGATATAAAATATATACCGGCTTTCAAAATTCAGGATTTCGCTCTAGATTTTTTTTAAGTCTCAATTTTGTGTCTCCATAAGTTATAGTTTATGAAACATTTTTTCACAATTTAAATTATTTTATATACCACCCCTCAAAGGATTAAATAATTTCCATTTGTTAAAGTAGTACTTTGTAACACAAAAGCAGCTTAAATAAATAATGTTCTATCATCCAACAGTAATCCAATTTACATTAATTCCTATGGGAGAAATAGCTTTAGTTAACCCACGAGCACGCACGCTCATATGAGTTACACGAGCGCATGCACTCGGTCCAAAAGACCCAGTTCTTGTTTTTTGAAGAAAATGTTGTGAATATTCAGAAAAAATGTGACATTTATGTCAATAAATTTTATGATAAAATTTAAAAAATATGCAAGTTAAAATTTGTAATTTCTTCAAGTGCTTTTATAAAACAAAATTACTTACTTAAAGGAATAGAAAATCTAATTATTTATTGCCACAGGAAAAAAACATAGTACTTTACTTTATGTCGATTTTTATTTTTTTTATTAGCACTATAGACACAAATGAAAATAAATAACAAATGTGAGCAGCACATTAAAGAAAGTGTTTTCATGTGTTCCAAATACAAATATTTTTCACATTCGGTGAAACGTGTTTTCGTTTTTTTGTACTTTTTTGCTGGACAAACAATGCATTTTTTATTTACTTTTTTTTTTCCCTCCTTCCGATAATTTTTTTAAATCCAACAAATTTATGTCTTTCTCACACTCGTTTTCAGAATCTATATCACTGTCTGAATCAGAATCATGTCAATTAAAAATTCATGATCACTTCCATCCTCATTTTCATCAATACATTCTTTGCCAGCTGATACCTCTGATAACTTTTGCAACATTTCTTGGTTGTATAATAAATAACGGGACATTTTTGCTGCTTTCTATACTATCACAAATCAACTATGAAATAGTAACATGAGTAGGTACGCTGGATCTAAATGACTCGATCGCATCAAAATCAGGCCTTCGAATAAAGTCCCAACGAAAAATCTTCGGAAACGTAAAGAGGTCGACCTAAGACAGGACTATATTGGACCTCAACAACTTGCGTGAAATATGTGCGCTTTGAGAAAGGTTTGTTTAATCGTGCGGGTCCTTTGGACCGAGTGTGCGTGCTCGCAGGTTAAGGACTTATGAAATGGTGAATGGCCTTCAGTAACAAATTAAGTCTGTGAAATTATGTTTCACTGTAGATTCATTAAAAGCCTGATTATCTGGTATTCAACTAATGAGAAAGCTCAAATAACTGGAATATTTCAGAAATTTATATATTGCTTTCCCTCCTTTTGAAAATATGATTAGGATTTCAAAACTTCTTTCTGTGGAATAGAATTTGTTAAGTATTTTCTGAGTCATGAAATTCTGGCATCTAGAAAATTTACATTAATGGGCATATAACTTTATTTCATAATGGATAAATGATGGCGACGGAAAATGAAAAATTATGACTAAGAGATTTAAGTTTTTTTACATTCTGCAGGTATAATTTGTAACTAAATAAAGATCAGTTTGTGTCTTTAGACTTCTTCCATTATAGTTGATGTAAGTTTGTCAGGATTTTTCTCACCTTTATAGTCAAAGAGGATTCCATAATCAGTTTGTATGTTTTACTCCGATATGCTAATACTTTGGCTTTTATGTCTGATGTGTGTGTGTGTGTGTTTTTTTTTTTTTTTTTTTTTTTTTTTTTTTTTTCACTTTAGAAGTTTTTTTTTAGAGTAATTTAAATACAGGCTTTTGAAATTCAAACTTTCTTGTTATGTACCTAATATATGTAGGCATTATACCCGTTTTGGGGAACTTCCATGTTTCAGGGTCAGAACCTTCGCTGCTTGGCAGTTTAAATTAAATTAAGAATGTACATTTGTAGCACTTATATATTTTACATAAGTTGTTTTTTATCAGTTCTGCCCTTTTTCATATCAGGGCTTCTTGTATGCAGGTCACCTCAAAAGGTTGTTGCCAAACTTAATATGCTGGTTTGTCATACAATGACAAGACTTAAATATGAGCTAGTGTCTGAATATGCAAACGCCAAGTGCTAGAGGGCAAGGTTTGCAAGCATAGAGGGGAAGAAAGAATGTTAAAAAGAGGTGTTAATATGACTTGTTAAAGAACATGGTTAAATCACAGAAGATGTTCAAAATTCCTTCCATTTGCCACAATACATGCTTCACAACATCGATGCATGGATTCGCGGACCCGTGCAAAAATGGACAGGTGTGTCATGGACATGTGCCACTTCTTCTACAAACCTGCTGACAAGATCCATATCTAATGTTCGCGCCTCGTGTACCATGGAGTTCATGTATCCCCACAGATAAAAATCCAGGGAAGTCAGGCCGGGAGAGATATCGCGGTGAACATGTAGCTGGTTCGCCTTTGCCAATCCAGCAATCAGGATACTTCGTACTGAGGTATTTGCACACAATGGTACTAAAATGTGCAATTGCTGCATTATGCTGAAACCAGATGTTTCACTGTATAGCTACTGGAACGTCAAGCATCAGATTTGTCAACTTTCTTTCTGCAAAATGTGTATCAAGAACTTGTGGAGAATTCTTTGTGTCTGCTAATCCAAGAAAGGGCACTGCCAGCTTTCTCACTCTTGTCCAGTAATGGAAAATTTGGACTGGTTCTACACTCTCTTCTTGGCTGCCATCGGTGAAGCAACAAACTCACTTCTCTTTCACGTGATGCCGACTGACCTTTTCCTACAACTTGGAATGCTTATTGCTAACTTTATGTGTGTTTACTACCTGTAAAATTCTTATGTCGAGTGACTTATATCTGATGCTTATTTTGTTATTAGTAGATATATGTTGAAGGATTATATATTTTCTAACCTTAATAAAAATGGTAATGTGCATACACCCAAATCTATCATTGTATATCATTGTTATATTGTTATATCTGCAGCAACAACACCACAAGCGACTGTAAACTGAATTAGTAAACCGATTCATCTTTCTCTTGCAATGTCTTCGCCTGAAATCACACTTCCCACTGTCCCATAAGCTTGCAAACTTTGCCCTCTAGCACTCGCCGTTCGCATTTTCGGACACAAGTTCCTATGTAAATCTTGTTTACCATGGTATGACAGACCAGTATGTTAAGTTTGGCAATGACCTTTTTGGATACCCTGTATATTCATATATGTAAATATTGTTATGGATTTGGTATTTAAATAGCAAATGTTGGTAGAATTATAAATTAAATTGCTTTATTCCCCATGCAGTGCAGCGCATGGTGAATATTAAAGGAAAGCTAAGCCGGAAAATTAAAAATACAAGAGCACGTGCATTTAACATTTAATAAACAAATATCTCTTTTTGATTTCGAGAAATTGCTAGAACAATCATGCGCAGGATTTAAAAAGCTTTTAAAAAGGAGGGCAATCTCTCAATTCAGGTAGTTGTTGTTTTAAGAATTTGTTTAGAAAACTGCTCTCGTTGACTGTGATGAATTCTCGGATTAGCTTTCTCTAGCTGTTTTAAATTAAGTTCTGTTGAATGTTTGAGTAGTTAAAAGATAACTATTGTGAGATATTGAGATATTGTAAGATTTTCTCTGGAGAAGTTTAAGCATTTTGTTTTATTTGTTTTGACAATAATAAATTTTGTTCATTTTTCATCAGACTTGTGCATTCGTTTCATAACGAACCCAACATTATTTTATAATTAAAAGTTCTCATAGCACTCTTCTATATTAATGATTTTCATATTAGTGAATTTCCATATTAATGAAGGCAGTCATTGACTCTTGGAAGTTATTCTTTATTAAAATTAGATGATGGCAACTAAATAAGTTTTTATGCGAAAGACACTCTTTGGTTTTAAACAAAGGAGCTTGCTTAATGAACAGCTTTTGATGTTATGGTCAGAATTCAAGGGTAATTCATCACAGATTGTACCTCCAGTAGTTGAACAGGCTGACCAAATGGTATTATCATGGATTTCTTCATATGAAATATGAGTACAACCTCATAATATTCTTTATGAAAGTAGCTCTTCCTACTACTTTCCACACAGTTAGTATTAATACAAGTATCCTCTGTAATTAAGCAGTGAAATGTTTGTCTATAATCTAATTTCCTTCACTTTATTGTGTATACAGTTTTAGCAACCCTACTGTTCTGAGATATTTGAACATGGGTCCTGATTTGTTAAGCATCATTAAGAATAGGAAATTTAAGAAGTTATTCTTTGTTAATAATATCTTAGATTTAAATTAACCTAAATAAGATTAGATTATTGGAGGAGTTAGGGCAACAAGAATCAGCATAATATTTCTAAATTTGCTGAACTAGTTTCAAAGTTTAAATATAGAATCTTCTTCTTCATCTGAAGGCATGTTATTATAACTCAAATAAATTTATATTCTTCTTAGATTTAGATTAAAAGAAATGTTCATTTGAAACTTATTTTTCATATTATATATGTTATCAAACTAAATTTTAAAAAAATGTTCAAATTTCTTTGCATTACAAATAAGAGAAATATGTTAAACATTGGTTTATGGAAATTTTTCTGTTCTCAAAGGGGAAAAAATCTTTCTTAACTATACTTGATAAAAATGTAATGCCAGTCATAATTACTGTACGAAGAATTAGTGTTTGAAAAATGAAATTAATATTTTTCTTCACATTACTTTTTCTCAGTTTTGTATTACATTATAAAGTTTTTATTTGTCTTTGGATTATCTTTAGACTTGTTACATAATTTAAATCTTTCAGAGATTTAGCAATAAATGTTGGTGCTTGGGGCATTTCTCACACACGTGTGCCAACTGAATCACGTCCAGGCCATGTTGCTATTGCTGCTGGTATATATGAAGACGTCAGTGCTGTTACAAGAGGATGGAAAGAAAACCCAGTGGAATTTGATTCTGTATTCAATGAAAGTAGATATACATGGGCTTGGGGCAGTCCAGATATTCTTCTAATGTTTAACAAAGGTTTGACTGAAATTTTTAAATTTAATATTATAAATTACATATGTATTATACATGTATACTATTATTTTGTAATGCGACATGTAGATAAGTACAAAACTTTATTCTTTCACTGATTCTTTCTCCGATTCTTTCACCGGTACTTTCTCATTCACCGATAAATCAAAGCCAAGCTGTACTCATGATGGTACTGAAAGAGATGAAGAATAATTTCCAAGAAAATGGACATCCAATAGATCTAAGAACAGAGTTAAATTTTGCATGGCCAGCTGTTTTTCTGTAACTTTACTTAATCTAGCTTTCTGGGATGTAATCTTCAATCGCATGAAAATAAAATTCATATAGATGAAAATAGAGCCTAGCTCCCAAATAAAAAAAAAAGGGGGGGAACTTGATTTTAATTAGAAAATACAAAGCATTTGAATGTAGAATTTAGACAATATTTGATAATATTTAATGTATATTAGTCATATCTTTCAAATTTAATCTGTTATCATTCCTTAAATTCTTAAGTAATTAAATTCTTAAGTAAAAATATATTTGCAGGTGCCCCTTGGCAATTTTTGGCAGTGCATGGATACCGAGTTTGTGCAATTCTTTGACTTGTTATTTTGGCTTGTGTAGTGACACAAAGGCAAAATAACAAGTCAAAGAATTGAACAAACTGGTTATCCATGTGCACATTGACCTATTTTCACTTAAAAAGTCAGAGAATTGCACAAACTAGGCATTGCGCACTCCCTTGCCTTTGTCCATGTACACATCGATCTATATTCAGTTAAAAAGTCAAAGGAGCGGCCAATAAAAAATATATAATCTCAATAAACTACATTTTAAATCAAACAAGGAAATAAAAAAAATTAAAAAAAAAAAAAAGAAAAAGAAAATTTGCACTACACAAAGGAAATATCCTCTTACCGTATTTTCAAATTAACATGTCTTAAGTCAAACAAAATTCCTTAACAGCATCCAAAAACTTCCTAAAATTATCTGAATAAGAATCTGTATACTGGCATTGCCATATAAATTCAAAAAATGAGAGTCAAAAACATCATCCGTAGCGCCGGTATCATCCGACGTTCGACCATATGCATTTCCTTCTTACAAACAGGATACTTAATAATGGCTACTAAGTAAACCTTCACTTACACACCAGTCAATTAATGTTCTTTTCCCCTTTCTTTCCAAATCGTACAGAAACTTAAATTTAATCTTACCACATTCAGCTATTCTATCGTTTGAACCACAACACTAGCACTGTACTTCCTAATCAACACACACCTCAAGCCCTTACAAATCTTTTCCCATAATTTAAAATTTACGGCTATCACAGAACGAATTATGTCATAATAGGGTTTCCATAACATTCAACTACTCAGGT